GTCGACAATGGGAAAGTAAATGCATTAAAGTGCTTAGGGGGAAAAAAAAATCTGATAAAGGAATAAACCAGTTAAGGGAATATATTACTCATAGCCCCGTTATTCAAATCCTGCCTTATAGGAAATCCTCTTAAAGCGATCACCTGATTGTGTGTTAAATTCCTAATTGAATAATAAAAGAATTATGTATTTCTTCCATAAAGGCACAAAGACGGGAGCCCAGGCGGGTGCTCGCTGAGGGAGGAACTTGGGGCAAGGAAGATGTGGGGAGAGGGGTCCTGGGGCAGCAGCAGCATCCAGGAGGGATGCGATGGGAGATGTGGGGCCGAGGGAGGATGGGGGTGTTGGGAGGGATGGTTGGGGAAGGCTGCAGCACTGACTGCCTTTGAGGGTAGTGGAGGAAAGGGAATTTTGAGGGGGTTACAGCAGCTCCTGAAGCTGCGAAGGGGTGGCCCCATGTCCAGCTCTGGGGTACCCCCACTGTTGACAGGAGCTGCAGGAGAGGAACAGCCCCTGCTGTCCCACTGATTCCCCAGCCAGAGCTGAGGGTAGGTAATATCTGCACAGCCTCCTCTAATGCTGCTGCCCTTCCCCCACATCCCTGCTATAAATAAGACGCAAAAAAATAAAAAAAGAAATAATCAAAAAAAAAGCACATCACCTGGCAGTCAAGAGGTGAGGGAGAACAGCAGGACTGACAAACACCAAACCCTCAGCCTGTGTGGGGGTGGCAGGGGGGAAGAAACAAAAGAGCTAAAAATAACCCTGGGAGCTGCTTTCTTCCCGGAGATCTTTTTTTCTTTTTTTTTTTTTAACCCAGCTGTTTCATTTCATAAACAGGATTATTTATTTATTTCTCCCCCTCTTTACTCCGCTTTTTACTTACGGGTTTTTTTTATTCAATGCCACCACTTTTCCCATCCTCGAGTCTCCTAAAAAGCAAGTTAAAAACCGAAACAAAACACCCGAAACCAAGGGAAAAAAAAAACCCAACACCAAAAAAACAAACCCAAAGCAACCGACTCGCTCCCTCCAGCAACGCCTTGTGCTGCCACAGCTCTTTATAGGTAATTGAATATCCCAGAGTGCACCTGCTAATGCAAACTCCCATATCAATAAGCAGCAGCAGCGGTGAGGGCAGAGGCAGCAGCTGAGAAAACAAAGCACCAGCGCCCGGCAAACCCCGGCCAAGCTCCGGGGCTGCCCGAGGCTTTTTATTAGGCAGGACTGGATTGCTGGAGCCAGGTTGAGGTCCCAGTCCAGGGCCAGCATAGGAGCTGGAAGCCAGCAGGGTTTGCAGGGAGGTGGGCATGGATTTATCCTCACTGCAGTGATCGATCTAGAGCCAAGCTAGGACAGGGCAGGGGGTGCAAAGCCCCCCAAATTCCCAGGGGAGACCCCTGGAGCAGCTCCAGCCCTACCAAGCAGCTCCCGGTTTTGCTCCATTTGCATGTCCAGCAGTGCCCGTACCTCCTCGATCCAGCATCCTCCAGCAGCAGCCAGGGAAATCAGGGATGACAGGAGCAGTTAATTCGAGCCTGCAGAGGCCATCTTCCCGTGCGAGCCTTGTTTTGTTTCCAAATAGACTTTCAATAACTAATTTCAGATGGTGAAGAGAAAAAGCTTCGCCCTGACCTCTTGAAATGCAAATTGCCTTTCGCCCTGGGAGAGATGAAAGGCTGTTTCCTATCTGAACCGTTAACAGGGGCTGAGATAACGTCGCCTGGCTCCCTCTCCCTGCTTTCATTTCGAAAATTATTTTCGGGTGAGAAGATGCTCTGTGTGATTTTGCTGCACTTGGTGCCCATGCAGAGCAGGGGGATGCCAGGGGGCACCTGGAGCAGAGTGCCCCCCTACCCTGATGGTGCACAGGGACACAGCTCAGGGTCTGTATTTCCCTACACACCAGCCCTGCTCCAGGCTCAGCCAACAACGGAGGTTGTGGGGCCAGGTAAAGCCCAGACTTTCGCCTTCCTCCTGCCAGGACTCAATTTTTGGGCCCAGCTCCAAAAGCTGCAGTACTATTTGTTCAGGAAAACGCAGCAGAGCAGCAGCACAGCCACACAGCTAAAGCCAGACCCACTCTGCTCTGGCCCCACCACCATCCCCTCAGCCAAACACGGCTGGATTAAACTCCTCCAGCCTCCCAGCAGCTTTCCCAGGCACACACAGCAGCCAAGAGCCCTCTACCTGTTTGAGCAGCTTTGGCTCAGGAGCTGGGTGAGGGCACACACACAGACCAGGGTTTTTTCCCCCTATCTTATGTTCTGCTCTAAGCCCTGGAGCACCCGTGCAGAGCAGATGCCCTCAGCACACACAGAAGGTGGGGTAGAGGGATGTTAAGGGAGTAAACAAAGGAAGGAGCAGGGAAGCACCAAGGAGAAAAGGGTGGGATGGCTTTGAGGATCGATCTTTCAGCAGAGAGAAGGCTGAGATGGTGCCAGCAAATGAGTAGGGAGGTTGTGGGAGGAAAAAGACTGGGTTGCTCCTAGGGAAGATGCAGAGATATTCTGACGGCTGGGATACTCCCAGGAAAGGAAGGAAAGAACATGGGTTTTCCAGGAAAATGTTGGGATGGCCCCAGGGAAGGGAAGAAAGAACAACAAGGATGGTCTGGAGTCAGAATGCTGGGATGCTTCCAGGGAAGGCACAGGGACACTGTGGCCCTGCACATCCATCCAGCAGCTGCACAACAGCACAGCATGGCCCCCTTGGCCCACAGCAGCCCCCTCTCTGCTGGCCCCAGCCCCCTCCTCCCCTTCATCAGCCAAAGGCCCAGGCTTCCTCTGGGCTGTTGCTCTGCCTGCCCTCCACAGATAAAATGAGTTATCAGCCCCGATCTGGAGCTGCTGAGGAGCAGCAGTGACGTGCCCACTTTGCCCGTGTCACCAGCCTGCCCCGAGCAGAGAGGAGGGGACAGAAGTGACAAGGGAGATGCTGAGCAGGAACCTGCCAGGCTGGCACCCAAAGGTGACTCTGTACCCACTGTGTGGACAAGGTGGATCCGATCACATGGATGAAGTGGATCTGTGCTGCTCTGGTCACTCGGTGCTCCTCAGCTCCTGATCAGACCTGTGCGCAAACAAGCCCCTCTCTCTCTCTCCTAAGGCCTTCCTTGCCCCTGCAAAACAGGAGCCAAAATATCAAAATACAGCCAAAATCCTTTAGCTTTACTCTATGGGCTTACCTGGACATAGTGATCTCCTAATCCTTTATTATAACCCGTAACTCAGGAAAACCCACTGCTAAAAATCCTACCCCAAGACACAACACGGTGCTGGAACAGACAGCATCACAAGTCCTCAGCTCCAGCAGGATGGGCACAGTGCCCTCATTAGCTCACAGTGCATCACTAATTAGCCAAAACAGGCCCTGCCAAGGGCCCAGCTGAGACTTGTCCAGGTCACACGTGGCACAGGAGAGGCGTGTGCCGGGCACTGGGAGTGGGTGCTGCAGAGGGACAAGGTGCTCCCAAGCACAGGCAGGATCAGAGCGATGCTGGTGCTCCCCTCTGCCTGCTGCTCCCCCAGCACCATCCCAGCATCTCTCTGGCTCTAAAATCCGGTGGTGCTGCATCAGCCTTGCAAACCAGCCAGAGCCGCTCTGTCTGGTACCTCGCTCCTTCCTCTGCTCCCACAAAGTGGGGTTGTTCACACCAGGATTGTGCTTCTGCTCACAGTTATTCCATCTTGGACTCAAGTCCTGCATAGCAAAGGGTCTCTCTCAGTACCTGAGCACTTCATAGATCAATCACAGCACAGCTAAACCCAAAAGCCTAGTCAGTACCAAAACGAAGCATGTCAGGAAGGACACAGGGACAGGCCCATATTTACCCTTGTAATAAGATAAATAATTGGAGAAGAGATTGCTCAGCCCTCTCCCTGGGAGTTCATGCTCAGTGGGCCAGACTCAGTACCAGCAGACATGAGACTGCCAATCTGAATGCAACCACAGCTGCCTACTTCAGAGCTGGGTTTGAGCCATTATTTACACTTTTTCCTGGGCTTACCGGAGAATATTCTGCTTTGCTGCCCTAGGGCAGGAGCAGAGGGGCTGTTGGACCTCCCAAAACATCAGTGGGTCTGGATGACCCCATCCATTTGGGGTGTGGGGGGACAGAGGGGTTGTTGTCACCTCCGCTGCAGCTGCAACTCACTGCCACTTCCTGAATCCACCAGCAGCTTCCCTCAGATCTTCAGTTTGCTCCAGGCAGGGGATGGAAACGTCACCAGCAGCTGAATGAACAGTTTAGAGACACTCATCCGAGCTAACACAGCCTATTTTGCCCGGAGCAAAGGGAGGCACAAAGCAGCAGCGACAGGGCAGCATTGCCCTCCAGAGCTGGATCAGGAGAGGAGGCGCCTGCAGCTCCACAGCAGAGGCCTCGCCATGAAACAGTCACCCAGGAGAACAGGGAGAGTCTCATCTCATCTCATCCTCGTGTGCTCCACCGTTGCCAGCAAGAGCAGAAGGGCTTTTTCTCCCCTCGTCCCTCCCGATCAAAGCACTTGTCGCTGCTCTGCAGAAGGAAGGACGCACAGAGAAGCAGGAGATGCCTCCTCTTCCATCCGCACGGGCTCAATGCAAATCTTCCTCCAGGGCTTGAAGGTGGGAAGCAACAAGCTTGGAGCGACAGCATAGGGTGGGTATGAAAGAACTGCTTCAGATGCATCCCACGAAAAAAAGGAATAAAGGCAGTTATCAAGCTTACCTGAGCAGCAGGAGAAAAATGCATGAATTTAAGTCCTGGGAAGAGCAGCTTTAAGGAGGAACAAGAGGGAAAATTACATTTGCAAGCAAAATGTGCCAGGAAAAACTCAGCTAGTCCTTTCCCAGTCCCTGCAAAGCCCAAGCTGACAGTGCCTGTGGAGAACAGCTACAAAGCACAGGTGGGACTGAGGGCTTATTACTGCTGGTATTTTGGTTTGGGCCACACAGCCTCACCCTGATCTTATCCGGCCCCATCTCCAAGCAGCAAACAAAAGGAAGAAGACACAGAATACTTATCACAACACAGATTTAATTTCTTAGGCAGTTATAAAATTACAAAGAGCAACGGGCTAGCAGTGAGAGCCAGACACTTGGTGAGGTGGAATGTTAAGACAGATTTTTCCACTTATCGACACAGATACCGAACAGTCAGTGAGCACTGCGGGATGCAGGGGTTTTCTCCACGTAAGGGAGCAAATGCAAGAGCAAATAGGTCCAGGTAGACACAGGGCCGAGTCAACACCCCACAGAAACCCAGAGCTACAGGTTGAGGAAGAACTCCCCACTCCAGGGTCGGACACGTGCAGGGGAGCCAGCGCAGGTCCGGCTGCTCGGCCAAAGCCACAGCACTGACACCTGCAACGAGCACAGCGGCAGCCGCTTGCAAGCCAGGGATAAAACTTCTTGCCCGTTATTTTCAAAGCGGTGTGAGATGAGATTTGCCAGTCGGAAGAGCATTAAGACGAAGGCATGTCATGATTAGAAAAATAGGAATTTGCTGAATTCCTTTGGTTGTACAGTTGGAATCTGAAAGGATTTATTTACAGTCAGAGCCATGCTTTCTTCATTGCAAGCCTTTCACGGGGCAGCAGATTCCAGAAAGAGAAAGGCCTGCTCTGCACGTGTGGAGAAGACACTAGGCCTTGCTCTCAGATGTTAACAGGTTAACTAAAGTTGACTGTTAGCCAGGACAGCTGGAGCACAGAATAAAAACTTCCCAAACCTCTGCAGTGATTAATCCCCACCAACGCTTTGGACAAAGACTCCTGCCGCTCTGCAAACAGCAGCAGAGCATCTGCACACACCAGTGGGGTACTGAACAGCTCAGCAACCCACAGGGAAAGAAATTCTACTGTCCTACTGCGTGTTGCTTTGGTGCTAATGCCATTGCTGGAGCCAAGAAAGCACAGCACGGGACGTAACAACGAGCGCTCTGCTCAGGGCTCTGAGCTAACCTGCTCACCCAGCCCGTGGCTCCTCAGCTCACTCCTCCCTTCCCACTATTACACACAGGTCAGATGGAGCTTCCCCTGGGCAGACACCTGCCACTGCATTAAAAGTCTTCTCAGGTATTTATTTGCATTCAGGCAGGCTTAAAAAAGCCACCACCTCTAAAAAAGAAACTCGCCATGCAGGACCTGAAGCAACAAGGTACAAGCACACACCTGATCCCAGAGGGAGCGCTCGTGCCAATGCCTTGTTGAACAGGGCATCAGAACAAACAGCTTTTACTAATCTCTTGATGCTTTCTACTTCCTCCTCCTCCTCCTGTGCCAGGCCCTGCCTTTTAACTGCTAGATTTGTATCTATCAGTCGTATTTTGCAAACAGCGACATAAGAAGAGAGCGGAGCAGATAAAAGCTTTCTGCCTCAGAACTTGAAATACAGAGTAAACAGGCAGATGTCGAGACAGCAGCTGAGTACCTGCACTCACTGCCATTTGCACATCAAGAGAAACAGCTCCTTCCCTACGGTACTCACTGGGAACTGATCCCACTGCAAGTTAAGACCTGAGTTTAGGATTCCAAGTTTTTCAGTGTTCCCCCCTCCCCAGCTTTGGTTGCTTCAGTTATCTCTGCCCCAACCCTCCACTGAGTTAAAAGCAATCAAGAAGTGCAGCTCGAATCAAGAGATTCAAGGCAGGCTATACAGATCAAACACTGTCCTTCCAAGGAAGGTCAGTCTAACTCAAGAGGGGCCACAATTCCCATATCCTAAACTAGAAGCTCATGGCCACACCACAGGGCTAGAGCCTTCTTGGCTTACCCTGGGCTGTGAGACCACCAGAACAGAAATGTTTAGACAGCTCCTGATCCACAGAGAACGACAGTGCAATCACATGCTCCGTACTCAGGTGAGGATGCAGCTGCAAACAGTATTTCTGGTATGCTTAAAGAAAATAAAAATAAAAATACATCTTTGTGTCACTGGGATGAACCCCCAACCTGAAAAGCTTTTAACTTTGGTAGCACACCACAACAGAGTGGTTTCTGAGGGCCTAAGGCCATCACAGAGAAGTTACATTAGTCATATTTTATCTGAGAAAAAGTTTATACCCTCAGGCAATGAACTCAAGACAAACTACTGCCACCACTCTTAAAAACACAGCCAGTGTGGACCAGAAACCACCTGCTCCACCCTACTAGCTCTGTGCTGGTCACTAACCCCAGAATATTAATGCTTCTGCTCTCTAAAGATTCTCCCAGTTACAACAACAACAAGACACTTTAACTGGCTTCCAGCTTCTACTGAGGAGTGAACCGAGTAGGGCACAGCAATTCCACAGTGTGTGGCTCAGGAGCAGGAACACAGGGAAGACACAAACACAGTGAACATGGGATCTCAAACTCACCTGTGGAAAATAAGGTGTGAAAGGTAAGAAGGGGGTAAAATTCGTACAATAAATTTTACCCATTTTTAGCAGTAAGGTCAGTAATTACACTTAGGGGGGTATCTGACTATGAAACATGGCCTTTGTTACACTCTAGAGTTGTAAAACTTGTGTGCTTAGCAGATCTGTGTTGCTGGTGCATGTTTACTGCTAACTGTGCTTGTGGAGTGTAGGCCAAGCCTCCAAGGATGTTATCAGGAATGTTACCAGCTTTAGTCTGGGATGAGCAGACATCTGACAGCTCCTGGGTGGTTCACTTTGCCAGAGCTCACTGAGCTTGCATTTGAGATTTGTATTTTACTCTGCAGCTCAGAGCTCCCCAGCAAAGCTGAGAGCACTTGCAGTAAAAAAGAAAGAAAATAAATTACTCCAGACCATGGAATTGAGTTATCAGCCAGATCTTACAGTCAAGAGACCAAGCAAGATTTCAGCATGACTCAGGGGTTTGCTGTGAATGTGCTGGGTTCTGGAGGGGACACCACAAGCCACTCCAACCAACTGCTTAGGACAGTCCAGGGTTTCAGTGAGTAAACAAGCCTGATCCCTTCTCTCCCACACGGTTGTGTACAAACCCCTTCCACTTACACAGCCTGACAGCAGCCTCACTGACAGAGAGGTCTCCTGGCAGGGGCTACCACCTTCTTCTGTACTTTAGAGGCAGGGGAAGCCCCCCTGCCCACACAGGCTTTGGGGACAAAACCGCCTGCTACTGCTCAAGAGAAGAATTAATGGTACCAAGTCCTCAAAGCACATCACTGCCTGTTGGGCAGGGAGATCACGTGTAGCTGGAGCACTCAGCCCCTGTCCTCCTTTCAAGATCTACAATTTCCTTGTCTGTTTTTATTTTTACTTCTTTGCAAGCAGTCACTAGAGGGAAATGAATCAACCTACATTGCTACACAAAAGGCAAGGGAGGCTCGTTTTGGTAAAGGAAGGTAACACTCACCAAGTACTTCGCTAATCACTTGCTCACTAACTGTTATCCAAGACTTAAGAGAAGGCACATTTACAACCCCAAAAATAGTCTGCAGCACTGCTCAGCCTTGGAAAGCTCTAGCCAGGGTCAGGGCAGTTATGGATTTATTCCCTAATTGCCAAAGAGACAACCAGTCCTTGAGTGTATCACAGCAGGTACTCTGATGAGAGGGGAAAGTGAGGAAAAAAGAAACCACCAAAAAAGAAAAGTATTGTTATCCAGCAGAAGAGAACCCAGAAGAAAATTAATATTTCAAAATCATTTATATTTACATCAGTATCCTGAAAAAAAGTCACGAACCTTCACTGTTAGAGCAGTGCACTCAGCCCCAGACTGAGGAGAAGCAGGAACTGAGAGCTTTGCCTTCCAGCAGAAAACCTTAAGGCTGTTTATAGAGTGGGGCTGCCAAACTCTACAGGGACTTCCCTCCAGCCTGACAGAATCCTTGCTTTGGATAATTTAAAAAAAGTATAAAAAAAGGTTATTGCTACTCTGCCAAGAAAATAGGACAATGTACAGGAGAGAAAGAAAGTGCATTCCAGTTCTTCTCTAAAAAACCCACAAGCTTATCAGCCACTACTACAGACACCCAAGTACTAAAGGTGCACAAACAAGATTCTCTAACACTTATTCCCTCATTCTAGCTTTCTTCCTGCAGCAATTCCTTCCCTGTAAAGGCACTTTCCATATTCTATATCCTTACGCAGGGAAACACTTCCAGTTTTCCATCCCAACAAACAGAACAGTCCCACAAATACACAACATTCAGAAGGAATTTTAATTAACAAAATGGTCCAGGAAAGGGAAGGGAGAACCCCAAAAAAACAGGCCATTGCATCTGAAAGGTTGCATGTCAGTCACTAGGTATGCCTGCAAGCCCATGCACAGGAACCATTTGGACCTTTGTCAGTGCAGAACTAGTCTCAGCTTCCAGAACCACTTCTCTACTCCTTCTTTATATAGGCTAAATATTATGTACATATATAAAAAAAATACAAACTCGAGTTTGTTATAAAGTGGCTTCTCTCTCTCTCTCCCCCTCCTATGCTTGCTTGGCACATGAACGCATGCAAAGCTAGTAGGCTCTGAGGGCTGCACAGACAGCAGGTTTTGGCAACAAAAAAAAAAAAGATAGACACAGCTAAAATAGATAAGCAAGATTAAAAGCCACTGAATTGAAAACCATATATTTTTCCAATGGTATAGAATCAGAACTACAGCTACGACTTTAAACTGTAAGAGTCTGTCATCCTCTCTCCCAACTCATGTCAAAGTTCATAGCAGCATAACACGAGGTTCCTCAAGAAACATCAAGCCAGTGTTCTCTGCTTCAGGAGTGAGTTCACAGGTCCAAGTTTAGTCTGTCCGAAGGATCATGGGGGGATGCTCACTGTCTTCATCCAATCTAAGTGAGCTGGTTTCATCTTCCAGGCAAGCTCCACCCACAGCACCCAGGTCATCCGTATAGGCTGGAGAGAAAGGAACAAGGAGTTGGGGAATCAGCAGCAACAAACTAAGGCTTGGATCCAGAGAGAATGAGCAGAGCTGAAGTACCAGGCGCTACTTGAAATAGTTTCACTGCCACCCTATGTTTGCTTTTATCATGACTCTGTTTCATGACTGTGTTTCTCCAAGCCAAGGAAAATTCATGATCAAAATTAAGCTCCTCTGTGTGTGTGCTTTGGGCAGGCTGACGATTTTTAGTCTCCACAGATGCATTACAGCTGCAGGTGCAGTACAGATGCAATATGTGCCGACTTGTCCTTCCTCTGCAGCGAGACTCTAACCTGAGTGCCAGAGCTGGCAAAAGCTCCACTAACTTGGAGAGCTGCAGCATTAAACAAGTTCTCATCCTCTCGATTTAACAGAGCAGCAAATCAGGCTAAAAGGTCACTGTTCCCATAAAGGAACAATTGCACCACTTATCAACCTTGCTAAAAAACATAAAAAAAAAAAAAAAAAAAGATTAAAAAAAAAAAGGGAGGGAGGCTATAATTCAGATACTTTGCACAAGGTCTGGGTGCAGAACTGTACAGAATAACTGGTTAGGGCGTCTCAAGAACCATCTGGCAAGTACTAAAACTATCACTACGGTAATCAACCACAACTCAAGACGAAATTCTACCCGGAAAGCAGCAAAGACAAGCGATCCATCTACAGAAGGCTACTGCACACCACGAGGGTTTCTTCTCCTACTGCTCACCAATGCTCCACACCGCACACGCAGTCACGCACAGCTCCGTGCTGCCGTGGACCAGCTCACGCAGCCATCTAGAACGAAGCGACACGCAGAGGTGCTCTCTGCCCCATTCCCAGCCTTCTCCTTACCATGCCTTGTGGGTGAGGAAGGCACATATGTACCTTTAGTCACAGCGGCACTGTACGTCTGCGCTACCAAGGGCCGGTCGTGGGATGCAGACTCGAGGATTTCGTTGGCCGGCTCCATGCTGCCGTCGAGCCTGCCGAGCACACAGAGGTTACCTGGAGAGCTGACCCCACCCGGGCACAGTGCAGCTTCAGCTGGCAGCTACAGGAAAATATCTCATCAGATGGATGAGAATAACATACAGAAATGGAATAGGAGGAACTGGTAAGAAGGCGACCTGACAACACTTCGTATTTAACTCTAAAGACTCATCAACGCCTCTTGACACGGCATCAGGATCTAAACAAGAGTGTGTGATTAAAAAAAGCTCCATTCCAATCAGCAGTAGTATAGATTGTCTTGAGCTCTGTCCACCACAGAAGTGGTTGCTTCATACACAGATATTACAAAATCCTCTAGAAAAGTATTAGAACATTTCAGAGATTAAGAATTTGATAAAGGCTTCCCTCTACGAGGCTTCACTTCACCTGTAAGTGAAAGCAGAGGTCATGCCTTAAAGTGTTCAGGTAAATGTATGATTTTTGACCATTATTACAATAGACTGACCAAAGCTGCAAACCTCAATTATCATCATGAGTTACTGCCTTTAATTCTATGATTGATCAAGTAATTTGACTATATTACCCTGGCTTTTCCTTATTGAAAAACACAGTGCATTGTCACAGTGTTCTACAGTACTGCTACAGAACATTAGCTGACTGGCCTATATGCAAGGAATTTTAGTAAGGAGGGAGAGAATATGGATAATTTCATAAGCCAGATTCCCCTCTATGAAGTCAGAGCAACATCTCTTTCTCATGTTTGTAACCACTTCATTTATTGATGAAGAGGGTGGTGTCAGTCGTTTCAAGTTCTTGTTTAAGTAACTCAACTCAAACTGCCAAGAGGAAAGAGGATCACAGAGCAAACAGCGATTGATCCCTCCCTGCACTCAGACAGTGTTAAGTTTCTGATGGTAAAGCGGAGCTTAGTGTAGTGGATACTTGAAAGGAAGGCTCAGGGGGATTCTGAAGTTACTCATTCATGTCAGAGGCCTGGAAGAAGATTAGTTTAAAGAAATGAGCTAAGTTAAACTCAGTTCTGTTCTGGAAAAGTCTGAGAACAAACTGTATTTTGAGAGGAAAAGAAATACAACAATCCTCAGTTAATGTGGACTTACTTGTGCTGCTTCATTAGTGTGCACTCGCCTCCTTCCTGGGGGTCCAGGTTGTACATGTAGAGATATCCATCGGCAGCTCCCACCAACAAACGAGGGATCTTCTGGATTCTACACAGGTTTAAGGGAGAGATTAATAAGAACAGATAAATAACAGACTACTAAATAACAGATTATTATTAGAACAGAAGAAAGCACACTCTCCTCCCTTTCCATGATTTAGTGGTTGGACTCAACCTCAGAGGTTTTTTTTCCAACCTAAATGATTCTACGGCTTTTAAGGCATTATTTTCCACACTTCTGCTCCTAGACAGGGAATGCTGTTAACAGTTAGAGCACCCAGGAAAGACCTGTGTATTAAAAAATTATGGCACAACCACATTTTGGGGCTAACAGGATGCCACAGGAATCAAGCAATTATTTGTAACTCATTAAAACAGATTCAGAAGTTACTATCCTGTTATCAAGCCTTGTGCAACTCCAAAGACAAATATTCTAACGGGAAGGATTTACTTATTTCTGAAATGTTGCAAAGCTTAATTATTGCTTAAAGGGTGCTTTGAGATCAGAGGACTGAGAATACAGACATGAAGTCAATTTAGCATAAAAACTATAAAAACCCCCACAAAATAAGTTTACTACTGCTCAGCTTATTGCTTTGGTAGCTGTGCCAAATGGGACCTGCCTTTGAGGAAGACAGCATAAAAGATTAGATTTAGTCCTAAAAATTAACTTTAATGAATGCTATGCTGTTTTAGAGACAAGAATTATATGAACTTGCTTTCAAAGACTTCTTTAATGGTTAGGCTGGATTGCCCAATTTTGCAATTTGCTAACAACACACAGTATCACTCCCAATAGCACTAATGGAAGCAAGGGCCATAAAAGCCCATGGGTCTGTTCTCAACATTCTTCTTTCAAAATTAAAAGACATCTTTAAACAACACTTGGAAATTGGGCTATTCCCACTCAAATATTACGCCTTTTCCTCCTCCCCTCACAGGACTGCGAGGTGTTGGCTCTGACACGTTGCTCTTACACTAGAAAAAGCTTTTCAGTGACTACAGGTGATCCACTGCAGACTGGGGTTATGTTTTACAGTGTCAGCCTCTCCAGAGCCCAAACCCAGCAAGGGTGGGGGGTGCAGGTTCCTCTGCAGTACTCACGTGGCAAGTGCACAGATGTTTTTGTGCCCACAGAAGGGCAGACGGACTGTGGCAAAGGCTCTACCCTGGTTGAACATCTCTGTTACTTGAGAGGGCAGGTAGCTTGTTGAGGCCATCAGCACTTTTCCAAAGTAACCTGTCCAGGTCGTAGGCTCTTCCTGAGGTCTACAAGTCAGAAGAGAAAAGTGACTTGACTTTGCCTTCACCTTAGAGGGAAAAGCGTGTGAACACTTTGAAACATTTTATTTTTAAAAGATATCAAGCAGCTATTTGTTTCTCTTCAGAAATAACTGACACCCTTGAGAACTCTTAACACACTTAATTTATGCTACAGGGCACAATGTGTCCTACAATACCCTCAGCCTGTTATTTAAGCATGTTTGATAGTAAACTGATGCTTCTGCATAGAAGACTGCATTTCATAACGTTCATTATACAAGAGCAGAATCCAGTGGAAAGTGCTACGCTTCAAGATTTTATTAATCTGTTTATCACTAAGCAAATCATTGTTTCCAATGACTTCCACAGAAATGCAATAAGACTGTCCTCTCAAATCATAAATAGGAACATTTTACAAGTTGGTGCCTTTTAAAGCCCCATATGCAGCTGGAAGGCAACGATGAGATAGTTCTTCTCATACGGATGTCAGAGGACAAATGTAACTGAAAATGATAAAACTGCTCCATATTCCTGTCAAGGATGGCCAAGTTCTCTTTGGCAGAAACGCCTTTTCTGCTCAGTGGGAGAACAGTACACAGCTCAGCTGCAGTTGCTGATTCATAAGTGACTTCTTATGCCCTTTACTTTACAGAAGTGTTCAAAAGAGTCTGTCCACACTTTGGAGAACTCATCCTGTCGAGAATAATCAATTTTAAAGCCTTTTCCTTCCAAGATCTAAGGCACATCTGAAACCTACTTTTCTTTCACAGTCTCAAGTTTGAAGATATGCACTGTCTCCGTGTTACTGGATGCAGACAGAAACATGCCATCCATGCTGAAGGCCAACGAACAGATGCTCACACACCTGGGGGGTGGGGAAAACAAAGAGAAGAAAAACAATGAAGCCAAAATATTTGGTTTGAATCAGCAGATTCCTCAGTCACCACTACTTTGCAAAAACTAAAAAAAACCCCAAAACTTCCATAACAAGCATTGTGAATTCTCTGATACCTTCCTGAAGCTACTCAAGCACAAGATTAATTAATGATGTTCAACTCTGATGCATACCAGATATGGAGATCAATTAGTAACAATCTGAGCTCAGTCTTACCTCTGTATAAAGCACAGTAGAACTACAGAGTTACTACTACCACAAACCACAGTACCACTTCACCATGGCTATTAATGACCACAGCACTAGAAGGACTTAGAGTGAGAATATTAGATGTGCTGCCTCCAATTGCCACAAGAATACAATATATCCTACAAAAGGTGACCCACTTTAAACAGGTTCCCTCACCAATAAATTTTTAAAAGGCAAGAGGGAGTACAATTCTGACAGGATTGATTTGCAGTATAGTCAAGTCCAAAGGAATGAAATTGGAAGACATTCAAGCTGAAACTGTTATAAGCACAGAATGCAAGGATGAATGGAGATGAAAAGAGGCAAAAAAATCAGGATGCCAGCTCAATTGCAGAACATACTGGAACTCAACCATAAGGAATGAGCTTCAGGTAATTAGCCCAGTTGAACTTTACCTCTTCACTCCCCTTCGGAATTCAAAGAGTTTCTGTCCCTCTGGAATGGAAAACACTCTTATTACTGTCCCCTGCAAAGAAAAAATAAATAAATTATTTTTCATTTCAAGTTGATTCATTGTGTATTAGCTCTAGTGAGCAGAGTACAACTGGAAGCAGCGAACCACTTTGCTGTTAACTTATTGCCGTGATGCACCCCAGATACTACATGAAATATTTATGGAGCTTGTTTGTAGGATGTGTTTGAAGAGTCCTGAAACAAGAGGTGGGAGCTACTAATGTAGAGAACAAGCTGTGCATCAAAACCAGCCCTTCTTATCATATTTGATCATGCAAACGACCACACCAGACAAGCACCAGAGTGCAGTCACTCGGATGTCTTTGTGCCTTTATCAGATGCAATCAGTCACACCTTTACAGTCTCAGCTTATTACTCAAAGAGCAGAGGCTTCAGACTCTCTAATTTATACATTTTACACGAACGATTTGTCATCACATGCCAAAGACTAGCAAGGCACTTCTCTCTATGCTGACTTTAACTGTCTTGTTTTCATTAGGAAGACAGCATCAAAACAAGACAGCTAATTTCTAATAAGTCTCCTGCATTAAAGGCAGAAAGACTTCTAGGATTGCCCTAATTACAGCCAGATTAAAATGTTTAATTTAAATAACCTTATTATCCCATATTTCACAGCATGGAAATTGTGTCAAATGTCATTAACAGCTCTTAACTTAGATTTCCCATTGTAGCTAAGCCTTCTTTTTTTGGCACTTGCACATGGAACTGTGCACATTTAAACTTCCTTAAAATGCTTAGAGACAGATTTGATTTTTATCACTGTTGGCAAGTCAATCAAAAGCCCTCTTACCTTTTCTGAGGCAGTGGCAAGTTTAGTACCACTTGCATCAAATGCCAAAGCAGCCAAGGGACTATCATGAGCTGGAATCATATTAGCAGCTCTCTGCAGTGAATCAATAAAATAGAACCTTAGCACAGTACACGTTAAAAGGCTACACATGTGCAGTTTAAGACTGCATATTTAAGCACATTCAAGGCAAATATGGGTCTTAGTTTATAGACAACAGCTTCAGTATTTGTATCAATAACTGCTAAGTACATAAAATTATCACTGAAGCACGTGCATAGAGAGTACAAGCAGCAGGAAGACAATTCAAACAGAAATCACTTTACTTTATTCCACCCATTTGCCCAATTCTACTCATTAAATCTAATATCAGCACCTGTATCTTCCTTGCTGACGTTCTGAGAAGCCTGGCTGTAAGAGATACTGCAGCCTGATGCACAGGAACCTAATTGTCCAGTAATTACTTAATTTGCTCTGAGAGGAATTTCCAAAACCTGCATCTTTAGAAATGGAAACAGCATTCAAAGATCCTTACCAGGTTGATGGTGTCAAAGACTTGTACTTCTCCAATAGTTGCACTCCCTGGGTAGGCCAGGTAGCAATTATCATTGTTTATTGATAAAGCACACAACCCTAGAAGGGATGCAGAGAAACAGAATTAGGAAGAGGCAAATTCCAAGATTTAAGCAGCAAAACCTTCTGATTCTGTGTTTGAGTGTCACAAAGATAACTCAAATTATCAACAGAAACACAACAAGGACAAGTAATCTCAGAGTCAACCTGCAACATATTCAACTATTTAGCATAAGTTAAAATTTAATATAAAATAGAAAGGGAAGAATACCAACAGAGCTAAAATAACTGATTAAACAGTAGAATTTCCCACGTCTGCCATGATTCCTAAAGCATTAACCTGACAAAGCCTTTAACTACACCAAGTGCTGTCAAAATCCAGTTTTTATCTCTAGTACTTCTTTCTAACATTTCAACACATCCACTGCAGGAGACCAAATTGCTGGGAAGATGCAGTTTAAGGCAGAGTCTGCTATTTGTTCTCAAAAAGAACCTCTCCTGGATCAAACACGTAGGCTTTAAGACAACACTCATGTGTTTTAATTGTTGCTTTTATTTGAAAGTGGAATTAACAACAACACAGTTCCCTGTGGGGAACATCATACACTGACAGCACTTTTAAGTTGTGCTGGGTTCTACCAACATACCTGCAGGATTGGGAGGTGTCTCCCTGATTGTATGTAATACCTTCATGTCTCGTATGTTGTGTATATAAAGAGACTCTTCCAGACATACTATCAGCCTCTGGAAAAGGGGGAAAAAAAGGACAAAATGCTGACATCATCTGGATGACTAACAAGATGTTACTTGTTTAACACTACCTCAGAAATCAAATTAGCCACTGTTTCCCTCGTGATTTTAAAACAGGAATCCCATCCTCCCACACTCACTTTTTGGGGGCAAGGACAGACATCAAGAAAATTTTTCTGCCTCAGATGCATTACTCCTCTACTTTGAATGAACTGGCTGAAGACAGAGAAATCTGTATTTGCTGAAGAGCGTACTGATGATTTAGTCACACAGCAAACTACATTTCCAGGTGCTTTACTTAACAATTTCACCAGTTCAGTGATACTTTTAAATTCTTTTTTTTTTTTTTAAAGAATTTAGCAAGTACTGTTTAAAAACATAAGAAGTTAGCAGATAACTATGTTCAGGCTTGAACAGAAACTGTCAGTCTCACATATTTTCACATTAGGGATTACAGGATGATTCACACTGGGAGAGACTTTAGGAGGTCTCTAGCCCAACCTCCCACTCAAAGTATGCCCAGCTTACTTAGGGCATTTTCCTAAGTAAATACATAAACACAGAACCAAAAATACTTAATTAAATAGGAGTACTGAGATGCCCCATAGAAGCAACAGCTGGAAAACTACAAGTCCATTTCAAATGGCAATTCTGTCACCAAAGGAAGAGACACCACACCAAGTGCCAGAATAAGATCCACAACCCCTTTCCCAGGTTTCCACCCAGGCAAAAATCACTACTCACCTGTCTGTTGAGTTTGACAGCCAAGATGGTGTTGGAGTAACTGTAGTTGCAAATCTCTGTCCCCTTCTTAAAGTGACAGACTTTCAGCTTGCGTGGAGCTTTAAGGCTGACTATGGCCACCAGGCTGCTGGAGAAGAGCCTCTCCACGATGCACACGTCTTCTGTGTCAGCTGAGGGATCACAGGAACGAGGGAAAAACACAGAGGGACATTTCAGGGAGGAAGAATGATGCACAGCAACAGGAAATACTGTCTAAGAAAATCACAGGATCGGAGGGTAAGTCTGTGTAAAAATACAGTCTAACAGCACACAGGTTCTGCCACAGCGGCTCAGAGTCAAGGTGGGACGCAGGGCAGGGTTTTAAAGAAGAATATGGACACAGTCAGTGCTGATTTGCAAAGATTTCCTCCCCCCAGCCTGAGGTGTCACACAAGTTTACACTTCACAACAGAGCACCTACTCCCCCGCCCAGAATCCAACAGAGACAAATCCCAAAGATACAAAAAATTGTAAACTGTCAAAGGACAGAATGTTACAACCTTCTTTTATCTCTATAGAAATCCAGGAAAGTCATTTTTGGGCCTCTTTTTGTTGTTTGTTTGTGTTTGTTTGTTTGTTTTTGGTTTGGTTTTGTTTTTAAAGCTATACTAAGCATGAAGGGTTTTTGACTACTAAAAACCTTGGCATTCCCACACACCTCTCCACGAAGAAGGAAAGGTTGTTGTACTCAAAGAAGCTGTAAACTTAGCTCAATGGTTAACACATTCAAACCCATAAAACTGCCAGGAAAAAAAAACAAACAAAAAACAAACAACAAATGAAAGAGCTTGTTTCTGAAGGCTTCTGTTTCGGCCAAGAGACACATTAAATAATTAACTTGCACTGTTCTCATCACCAGTGACAGAAATTCCACGAAAAAAGTTCTGTTCAGCATTCTCAGCATACGATGCTGCCATCACTGCGTGGTATGCCTGCTTTCAAAGTGCTTTTTCTGGGCAGTTATTTCAAGGAAAAGAACACAAAATATTTAATGTTCTACATTCCTTTGAGAGAAACAGCCTCCTTACGGAAAAGGAGCAGGTTTATACTGTGTATTTTCAGCACTCTATGAGACATAATTGACTTTTATCTACATCTCGTATTTAATATGGTACTTTTCCAGAGAAGACAAAACAGCTCACAGAGGCTTTGAAAATTCAATTTTCTCATGCAATGGGGATAATGCATTTTAGTAATGACTTTGTTTTCAAGGAATTGTTCTCCATTTTCTCAATACGGCACAAAACACATGAAAAAGAAACACAAAAATCTGCTTCAATAAATGCACGCAGGGACTTTGAAATGTGGAGGTCTGTGTTCCTTGAATCAGACTAGTTACATAAAAGGCTCTCAAATATTTTAGAGGATGGGTTATATCAGCTTTCCATCTGAGCCTGGAGTCCTTCAAAAACGATGACATCCTTTTACAAGAGTCAGAAGACCAGCACACAGAGACCCCAAAAGCACAGCCTGGCTGCTCCCTGCTCCCAAGACAAGCACAGCTTCTTTCCCCATTCAGGGACAACCGTGTTCAGACACAGCTTCTGGGATTTGTCACTCTCCCAGCCACAAGAACTGGTATTTCAGAAGAGGAACAGCATCAGAGATTCAGCTGGAAAACGTGCTGTCCTCTGCTGCGCTGATGGGAAGGGTGGGCAGCAGGGAAGGCACACAGGGAAGAGCACTATCAGCACTATCAAGAAACTAAGCAGTCAGACAGAAGAAAAACATTTTCAATAAGCAAAATGCTTCAAAGGTATTGATAATCCTTCAGTCTCACCATAAAAAGACTATAATACAGATAGTTACTCTTAGAGAAAGTCTCTGTGATGGGCTTTTAATTACATTCACTTAAAAAATACAGGACGCACCTCTGGTCCTTTGTCTTCCTCTAACAGGAAGAAGAGATAAAATCTCTTCACAGCTGCCAAGTAATTTATGCTTCCCAACAGCAATGCTCAAGTGAGTACCAGGCTATCCTGCCCATCCTATGTTCAGCTGACCTGAATTAATCATATGTTTAGCAGCACTAAAGCCCTATAGCAATGCTGTTACTCACAGGGTTGTGTGTTTTTATTTTTTTTTTCTATTAGTATTATCTCCTTTACGCTACACAACCCAGCCTTGCCAGAAACTCAGATTCAAAACACTGTAAGAACAAAAAGAACTGCAAAACAAATTAAGTACCAGCAGCGAGGGGAGAACAAGCAAATACATAACAAGATTAGTTTCATAAACACAAGCATGTAGCATCACAGACAAGAGCTGGTTAGAGCCAGCTAGATTATGATCAGCTGTGCCTTTATTCCATTTTTAATCCAAGAACATGAAGCATGTTAGAAGGATTCATTAAGCCTTAAATCACCCTTCAATCTGATGCTTGTTTTTACAGGGGGATCAACTGCGCAGGGAGGCAGGAGATTTGTGCAGTCACAGGAGAAGTCAGTGACGGGAGCAGCCAAATCTTCCATCTTGTCAGTTGTTCTCTCAAACACAAGACAGCTGGGGCATATTCTGTAGTTTAGTTTAAACACCTACACAAGAGCTGGCAGATCAATCTTCCAGAGGAGAGGTGGGGGGAGTCCTTAACAGCGCTCACTCAAAACAACACGGAGTCTTCAGAGCCACTTAAAACTAAACTGGGAAGCAGAAGGCAGTGTCTGGGAGGCCTCAGGATACCTTTCCTTTCGGAAAGGAGGTACCCAGTACACAGGAAGCCCTCCACCCCCATATCAAGTTTTAACAGGCATGGGTTGCAAATCCAAGACCGAAAATTATTTAACTCATATAAAAAAATGAAGGTCTCTAAATATTTAGATGTGCTTTGAGCAAAGGTTGGCTGGCTTATACAGGCCAAAGCATTTACATCTGCTGTATCACATTTCCTGCGATAGACAAGGAATAATGGGTTCAAATTGAAAGAGGGGAAATTTAGCTTAGATATAAGAAAGAAATTCTTGCCTGGGAGGGTGGGCAGGCCCTGGCACAGGTTGCCCAGAGAAGCTGTGGCTGCCCCATCCCTGGAAGTGTCCAAGGCCAGGTTGGATGGGGCTTGGAGCAACTTGGAATAGTGGAAGGTGTCGCTGCCTGTGGCAGGGGATGAGACTGGATGATTTTTAAGGTCCCTTCCAAACCAAACCATTCCATGATTCTACTAAATGTTACTACACTCTGTGCTCTCTTTTTATGGACTTAGCAGTCAGAAAACTTACAACATCAGCACAGACATCCCAGAACGGTCCAAGGACTGGAATCAGCAGGTCTAAATTCCAACTGCAGCTGCTTTATCAATTTATTGCAAGATTTTGAACAAGGCACTTTGCCCAACCTGTACTTTTTCTTTCAAGGACTACCTAGAAGGTGCAGTCCTGCAAAGTGCAGTTGACCTCTCAGTGTATTTATTCAGTGTCTTGTGTAACAGGAGTCATCTTCACTGAGTCTCCTGGGGTGGTATCAGGCCAGATACTGTAAGTGCCTGACATACTACAGAGGTCAGGTGCCTAAAGTCAACAGCAGAAAATGGAATTCAAGCCACTTATTAACCAGTAAAACCAGACCATGACTCAAATAGGAAGATGTAGCTGCAGCACAGCTTAACCTGACCACAGGTGCCTAATTTGAACCTCCCAATTACTTCTCTCATTGACTGTGTACAGAATCAGGCTGTCGTTGCAGTAATAGGTGATCTGAATCACACACCATTTCCAAACTTCGGATGCCACAGGGTCAGGTCACTTTGGGAATGGAGTCTGAGGACAACTCTGTCATGGGATCTCGCTATGAATGCTGACATCATAGTTATTGGTACCACCTGCTCACATGGAGTTTACAAGAAAGCGAGGATACTCACACATAGCATTCATGGTTTACTTATTAGCACCTCAAAAAAGGGAAGTCTACGACCTGCTGGCAAAACCAGGGATACCGCTTCTCTCCCAGGCCTCCATCCATGTCATCTCATTTCCTACCCAACTGTGACCAGTACTGAGAAGTTTCAGCAATGTGAATTATTCACCCTTCTCTATGAGCAAACCCACAGCTATCATGTTAAAAAGTATTTTTCTAACAGCAAACATAAGGATAAAAAATATATATATATCTCTATAATTAAGGTTTTGTTTTCTTATTTGACAAAGGTATGTCAGTGCTTGCCTGCCCAAACAGCCAGTATAAAGACCCCAAAGACACACTCTCCCACAGGAGTAAATTATTATTTTTATCCCAGCTGCTACATAATCTGGCTAATGGACATAAGATTCAAAAAGCAGAGTTCCCACAGCCACTACCAAATTTCACAACATCCCAGCTAAATTTAAATACAGAACACCAATAAACAGTTTTACCCTGCCAGCATCAATTGTTTTGTATTTGTTTGATATTTACACTTAAGGTTCCTCTTACATCAGTTTCAAACAATCTGTGAAAAAATGAAACATGTCTTACTCTTCCCATATTAACGCAACTGAGGGGATTAAAAAAATAAAGGAAGAAAAAGAGGAGATACTCACTGCATTCATAGATCTGCTCTAATTTGTCCACAGAAGAAAGAGAGAAGAATTTGTAGCCTGATTTACTGCCAACTGCAAGGGATCTGCAAAAGAAACAAGCCAGTCAGAAACACAAACTACATCAGCTGTGATTACCCTTGGACAGATTCTTACCCTGTTCTAACCTCCAGCTGGGTTAGCTCGGTAAGAAAAACGATAAAAAGCTTTTCCAAAGAAGCCATGACAGACACAGACAGCGGTCCTCAACTCTGAAAAGGCCCAAACAGCTTCAGAATTACAGAAATTCAGAACTACAGAATTCAGGTGTGGGATTCTGCTCCACATTTTAATGAAAGCAGAGGTCACAGCCCGATGTGAGCCGACTGCCCAATTCTCACCGGTGGTTTCTCCACACAGCCTAAAAGCCTTAGCGTGGAGGAAAGATGATGACTTGAATAATGTAATGCAAACCAATTACATCATTGCCTCATCATTAGAGGTGACCTCCGAGACCTTTCAAACTGGGCCGTCTGGGGATTTTTTGTTCTTTACGGTGTAACCGTCCCCGACCATCCCAAAAGAGTTTTTATATTTAAAAAAAAAAAAAGTAATTACAGGCTGCCAACTCTAATTTTCCCTGGCTGTATGTGATGATGTTCTAGCACCTCAATTGTTCGGTCTCACTCTTACAAATGCTCCCACCGAATCTTTGATCAGAGGCACCCTCTTAAAAATGCTGGTCACTGATGTTAAACAGATTTGAACAATAGCAGAACACCAAAAAACTGACTACAAACCCTTCTTTCCTCCATTACTCAATTTTCACACTTAGCTCACAGACCAGTTAATTGCTTTTCCAGTTAGAGTCAAAGACAGGTCTTAAATTTTAAGCAAGAAAAACCTTTAGCTTGTCTTGCAGGTCTTTACACACCAAGGCAGCAGACAACAGCTCATTCTTGTTTCCCCCCACTCCATGTGGAGGATGATTTTATGCCACAGATTAAGAAAATTAAGAGCCAATAAGAGCCGTACAGAAGTGCATCAGTATGCTTATAGTTCACACATTTCTTACTGCCAGGACATGCAGAGAAAAAAACTAATTAAATTCCGATAAAACACATTTCAATGTGCCCAATTGTGGCAAGTCATTCGATACAAGGCTCAGAGCCAACCCTGCCAGTCAGCCTGCCAAAAACGCCCTTCTGAGCTCAGCAAGATGATTCTCAACAATTCAGATGCACTAACAATTAATTCTGCCTTTGGAATACAATGCAGATTCCTAGATTTCATGTTCTCCCTGTATTTTCCACTCATGGCTCCAAAGTGAGCCCTTCTTAAACTTCAACATATCCAGAAGATTAAAAATTGTTCCTCGAGTGGCTTACCCTCTGAAATTAAGATCTCAAGCTATAAAATCAAATTCTGTATGATGGTATGACCTTCTCTGCTAGGGAAAAAAAAAATACAACTGGCACAATCTGGTTAAGAAATTATATTTGAGAAGGTTTAAGCTTTCAAATTAAAATATGCATCAGGCAGGCAGGCAGAAGTCCCCAGATTCAATAACCAAGATATTAAAAAAGCGCATTAGGCTTAGAGATAGAGAGCAACCATAAAACAAAATTTTGTTGCTGCTCCTCTAAGTCACCTCAGAAATACAGAATTTAATTTTACTCCAAACAAAGTCAGTATCTTCAGCACACTCTATCTGATTAGAGGCCAGAAACACTGAAGTGTTTTTGCTCAACCACTTTTGTACAACTCAATGAAAAACCCACATTCTGTGAAAAAAAACGAACACGTGAAACTCTTAATTTGGTAAAACAAAAGCAATGAATCAGCTTCTCTTAGCTCTTTTATGGCTTCCCTCAGAAGAAAGTTTAACAAAGAACGACATTAAAACTGTCACTTTGGTAAGGTAAACAAGCACTCCACTGAGTTAAAAATAAATGGGAGTCACAAGACTCCTTGCAACCTAAACGATCCACAAAAGACACGGGATGATTTCTTCCCGGAGAATTCCCCACAGCAGCTATTTGTGAGTGTATTACCAGGCAGAACTGTATTCCTGCATTGTCCTTACAGCTTCAGACACAGAATATTGCTGAATCACTGTTTTGCTGACAGTATCACTGAAACCAGCGAGGAAGCCCATTTTTCTAGTCCTACAACTGCCTATACCTCATTTAAATGAGCCACAATGGCAAAAATGAGATAAAATGTGATAAAAATCATCATCAGTAGAAGCCAAAATGAAGAAGCACAGGGCAGACCTTTCCATCCACGGCAACTGCTTTTTGTTATTTCTATCAGGATCGAGGTGATGGAGCCGCAAATCATTTGTTTACAGTTCAAGTCAGCGTAATTAAACCCATTTCAGAATCCAAGCGTTATAACCCCTGCAAAATAACCCCTTTTTCTTCTAGAACAGCATTCCTGCTTTTGGAGGGTTTGTTTCGTTGGGGTGGTTTTTTTAATGTACTCTCAAATTACTTCTTATGAAACTACTGGAAAAAGGCTTTTTATATGTAACAAGAACCCACTAGTCTGAGTTATACCAGCATAATCATAACGATTTAAATCTCCCATCTTCCCCCACACTGATATTACACTTAAGCCCTTAAGACACCCGATAACCATCTCAATGGCCAAATCCACAAAACAAGCATCCAGCCAGAATTACCTCACCCCCCAAAAAATGTGCAACCATCTGGGGAAGAAATATGATCAATAAGCCATCCAGCTCTTGCTCAGACAAACAGTGGCCAGCAAGAAGCTGCTGTAGTTATCAGAAGCTCCTTTTACAATGTGGGTGTTACGCTTTATTATCACCGATTTTCAAAGGCTGATGAGCCTGAAATTGAAAATAAATATTCCCCAAAATTGCCTTTTTTTTCCTTCTAATATTATGCTGCACACATGTGGGTTTTCTTAGCTCTACTATGTGTAGCCCCTATTACACACCTAAGACTGCAGACTTTGAGCTATTTCATCATCAAGGTTGTCTCTTCAGTACAAAATTATCAATACAGCCATGATTTATGGAACTGTGTTTACCCACTTTTTTCCAGAGATAATGCTGCAGTCTGATCCAAGCCTACATAAATCTTGATAGTATTTTCAAGAGTGACTGTCATAAATAATTAAAACTAGCCTCACAAGAGAACAGTGCTGTGAGATATTTCACACACTCATCTGAAGATGCTGACATCCACTCTAAGTGCACTCACCTAAAGTGGAATATCAGCTGCTTCAATCTCCCTGGCTCTTTAGAAGCAAGTTTTTTCAGATGGGTTAGAATGCTACAGGTTTTCTTTTGCTTCTTTAATATACATACAGAAGGAAGAAAACCAGTTTTTCCCTTTCCATATTGCAGAGGACCTTAACTATTAATCAGAAATATTCTACATTAATCAGGAAGATCCTACTAAGGGCAGCTCTCTCAAAGATTAAAATCAATTGCAGCTGCAGCATAAACATGACTCCAGAAGTCATTACTGTTTTAAATAACTGGCTAATTAAACCTACTTTCATTATGATACAGTCTCATTATACTAATGTTCCACCTCATTTCAAAACCAATGCAAATTTCCACAGACAAAACATTTCGTGAACAAAGGCTTATGATGAAGAGGGGGAACACAATAAAAGAAAAATCAGTGAAATGACATAAGAATTGCTAAGGAATTACTAAGGAAATGTACTTTCACCTCTCCCAACTGCCTGCTGAAACCAAAGCTGCAGCATCTTATGGATGTGTCTTAATATTAAAGGTCATTATTTTGGGCAAAAGCGAGATAGAGAAATTCACACATTCAATGTTTTTGTCAGCCACGCTCTGACAACCCACAGATTTTCCTACTATTTTTATATTAAAAGAAAGCCCAAAACTTAAAATCTGTTACAGCAACAGGAGACCACGCCTGCTCAGCCCTTAACACGCAGCGTCAGGCTGGGACAACAGAGAGGCCACAACCCAAGAAAATCTCTCTCCTCTTGGGCCAAATCCCCATCCAAATGGTGAGGAGCTGAGGAGCAGCTCCTCTGGCCACCCCCCCTGAGCTGCTGTGCCCACTGCCACCACAGCAAGGAACACAACCTACGGTTGTCTCTCTCAGCTATCCTGCCTGAGCGTGGCAGCTACGTGACCGCTCTTGCCTTCCTGGGTTTTTTTGGGGTGTGTGTTTAGCTTTAAAGCCTCCTTGGAACACAGAGCTCTCCTGTCCTCAGGGATCACGGGTGAAGGACACCTGAACCTAGGAGAGACAAAGGCAGAGGAGTGAATGCTCAGCACCTAACCCTTGTTCCTCCCACCACAAGCAGTTCACTACAGAGATCCAAACACCGCAGGGCGAGGGAATTTGAATACAGCTTCTGCTGCACCAAGCAGGCTGGACATATTTGGAGCTATCAGCATTTGCCCAAAATGTAGAATGAAACTGATTTATTTGGGAAATAAAGGGCAGGATTAATATTTGGACCGATATTTGTCATGTGTAACTCCACACACAAATGAAGGCAGAGTCTGAAGAAGTCCTTGAAAATTAAGGCACACACCAGTGTTTTCCTTAGAAGTCCAAACAAGGGTTTCTTTTGCCTTTCATCAGGACTTTGTTTTCAAAACTGCAGTGACTACTTTTTTTCCAAAGGCTGCCACACAATTCCTTATTTAAAAAAAAAAAAGGTGACTAAAACTTCTCTACAGTTTGTCCACTTGCATTATTTCACAAGCAGGTTCTTTGGGGTGGTTGTTGGTTGGTGCTTTTGGGGGGAATGGGTGTGTGTGTTTGTAAATTGAATCCAAATACCATTTTTAAGTACTTCCAAAGGTACTTCTCTGGCAATATCTGCGTAACAATTTAAAGACTGAAAGTTTTACCTCTTATATAGATACATGCAAGGTGAGGTCTTGAAGTTATCCTTAGCTTAAAAAGTTACAAACTTCTAACCCATTAGCATTTCCCTCATGCGTTGTAAAACTTCTGTGAGTTTGCGAGGTGTTTAATTTTTCATAAATGTATCTGTGCTCAGTTTTAGTAGTTCTCCCAGAAGTAATACAAAGAGCACTCAGGTTTTTCTTCCCAAGCATCCATTGTTAAAGATTTCCAGCTGCTGAAACCTACCCAGCACTGAGATCACCCACAAGCTTCCCCTGAATGGTTTGGCTGGGACACCCGAATCCTGACGGGTTACTCCACTTTGATCTGGAAGCTGGAGCTTGTGCCTCTCAATCAGGGAATGCCAGTCATGCTGAGTTGTGCAATGATTGATTCACTGGGGAAAAGGGCCAGGTCCAAAACAAGCACACCAACATCTTCTGAAAATACCCCTTTCTGTGTTTTTACTTAATGAAAACATCATATCAAAGAGAAGCCACAAACCAACCGCTTCTGCTGCTTTATAGGTGGAGTGTTCTCAGGCAGAGTTCCAGTCCCAGCCAATAATTCAAAACTCTCATGTAAATAAAGCTTGGGGCAATGTGGAATAAACAGGCAAGACAACACTTGCAGTAACGTAGATACTGTTCCAAGAGACAATGTCACCACTTACAGCATCTGTGAACGAGCCTTTCGAAAAAGTTAAGTCTGAGAGAAACAAGCAACTGAGAGCAGGACAGAGGAGATCTGCTCCAGTCACCAGGGACTGCAACAACTGGGAAAACCAACAGCAATTTTTATGGTGACAACATTCTTCTGACTACCAGCAACCCCATTTCCCAAGATTAGGAGCCACCATGAAGCTCATCTTCCTACAGGAGAGGGTAACTCATCACCAACTCTTCATAAAACCAAGGAAAATTGGCCTGATCCTTATTTTTACCAGTAACAAGCACCATCTTTTCCTAACACCAGGCCACTGGCTCTGCTGTGTAGGTAAGCAAGACACACTTAAGCCTGAGTGGAACTGGCACCTTGTTAAGGTGAAGGTAAAAGCTTTAAATGCAATAACAACGTGCCCATGTCATTTATTTTCCAGTTCTGTCTGTCAGCAATTTTTCTAATTACTGAAGCACCTTTAAGCATGATGTAGCTCTACTGACTGGGCAGACATAAACAAAGCTTGTCTTTCATATACTGCCTGAAAGAATATGCATTTGTTTACCTTGCCTGTCTGGAGAAGGGCTCCAGTTACCTGTAAAAGTTGAAACAGGTGAGCTTTCTGAGGCCTGGCAGGGCAAAGTGTAAGTCACTCCTAAGAGGTTCTTTTCAGCTCTTCTCACCTGGTGAACTGTCATCTCCTAGATATACAGAATAGGGCACTATAAACCCAGAGAGCTGGCTTCTTGTTTCTCTATTCAAACATGAAACTAGGAGAGATCATGAGGAGAGAAAAAAAAAAATCAAATAAACTTCAGTGTAAAGAATGCACACAACCACTAAATTCTACTCAGTTTAGGAACTTCAGTGCAACTTGGTTATTTGGGCCACTTACCACATCAGACAAGTGTTTCACTAAGAGGCTCTGCAAAACTTGTTTTATACTTACTACTTTTCTTGGAGACATTTATTTGAGACACTATTAGTAAGGGATTATTCCACATCATCAACCACTTCATTTGTCTCAAAGTAAGTGGCCTTCTAAATTATCCTCAGAATTTTGAGACAAAAAAAAAAAATAAAATAACAGGAGCCTGTTCATATTTCTGTCTTTTCTGTAATGATTACCTGAAATGCACAAATATTCCAAAGTGACACAAAAGATCCAACAGCCCAAGACTTGGGATTGCAAAGATCTATGGGCCAGGCCTGGATCACATAAAAGATGCAGCACCAAAATCCTCATCAGCTAACCTCAAGGTGATTTATATACAAATAATATTTTTTTTTAAAAAGTAATTTATTCTCACAGTGGACATTAGAATGCTGAATAAAAAAATAAATCAGCTGTAACACAGAAATTGAAAAACACTTTTTCCTTATTTATGAAAATGAAATGGGAAAAGTAGTCCAGCAGCACACAGTTGAGGAAAGAAATCATTAGCCAGTTGTCCCTTTTTTCTCCCCATAAACTCAAAGCTAAAAAGGAATCAGCTTTACTCTTCCTTGAAGAAAGATGTAATGGTGTACAAGCCAAAGAAAACTTAGATAAGTTTGTTGCCTTTGTTTCCTTTTGCTTCTGTTTTGGTTTGTTCTCAAGTCAAGCCTGCAGCTCTAGTTCAAAATAAGTAGGTTTTTTTGGTCACAACTCAGTGCTCTTTAAGCACACACAGCTCTCCACAAAGCTAAGATGCAACTGAAAATGGGCAGGTGCTTTAAGGAGAAATACTACCACTTTGGGACCTCCCTGTGGGACAGCACAGCTGAACTTCAAAAACTTACATAATGCCCTCATAAACTGCTAAAGAAAGAGGTGGCAAATGATGACTTGTCTCTTTCTTTTCCAGTAACAGGTAAAAAATGAATGGTATCTGAGCAAAACCTGGGCATGTTTTATATGCACAAGGACAGAGTAAGCTCTGTACGGTGCTCAGTGAAAAAGTGTGAAAAGGAGTTGCAAAAGCCTTTGGCTCGAATCAATACATGGATAATGATTTACTTACAAACACACAGAAGGCTACTGCTTCCCCCCCATCATTTACCAGGAGTTATCTACTCCTAAAGCCTCTTGTCTCAAGTCTATCCAGCTCCACTGGCTCATCTCTTCACCCCCAACAAAACCTACAAAAGCAAACAGAGTGTCTTCTGCTGTGATGTGACCCTCCCAAATCCTGGCAGTCACCAGAAATAACCTCCTCACCTTCACAATTCCCATATGCTACAGGACATTGCAGGGGACAGTCACAGCCCTCCCTCGACAGGGTATTTTTGCTCATGAAGAGAACAAGTTGTTAAAAGAAAAACCCTCCACCACCACACACGTGGATCACGCTCTGTGATGCCAACCTGAGATCATTTCCTCTTACTCACTTCCTAAATCAAAACTCCTCCTTTCTCGAGCACAAGTTCTTTCGGTTATTAACCCCCCCCTCCCAGCTTCATCTCTCAGGTATTTCAGTCAGTCAAATCCTTCTTCAAATGATCTTTAGTGCTCCCAACCCAACGAACAGGGGGTTCTTAAATTAAAGATACCGCTTTTTAATACCCCACATAAAAACTAATAGGCACTAATTAATCTAAACATGCTGCCACGATTAAGTAGTTTGCAAGACGTGCAGCTCGAACCACCTGAAACCCAAATAAGTGCAATCTCAAGGACCAGAGGAAGGCCTCTTTTTTTCCAAAATCGAAACCAAAAGCAGCACGAGGCTCATGAAAGCACCTTCAACACTCAGGCACGCTGCTTCCAACGCAGCAGGGTGAAAACGACACAGCTGGATAAAGCAGATCGGTGCGAGGAGGAGGATGAAGCCTTCACGCTTCATCAAGAACTCGCCCAGGTCTCAGGAGGGCCTGGCGCGAAGCCACATCACCCAGGAGCAGCAGGAGCCCTCCTTCCACTCCCTTTCCCAACGGGACAGCGGGCGAGGAGGCAACAACACTCTGCAGCCCCCCCTGTGCCCCGAGGGGTGCGGGGACGTCCTGTCCCCGCACCCTCGGGGCACAAGGGAGGCTGCTCCCACCGCCCTCCCCACGCCTGGGGGGACCCGGCCCCGCTGCAGGCCCGAACCCCCAGGAAAGGAGCGGCCCAGGAGGGAGACCCCACCGCGCCCAGACCCTCCCCAGGGCCCCCCTCACGCTGCCCCTCCCCAACCCGAGCCCCCTCCCTCATGTCCCCCCCCTTACGTGTTGTCCTGGTTGAAGTTGGCGAACAGCAGATGGCCGCTGCCGGCGTCGCCGCTCTGCCCGGCCAAGTTCATGGCGGGCTGGACGGCCCTCGCCGCCCCCCGTCCTGCGGGGGAGGAGGAGGAGGGAAGGGGGGAAGGACGAAGCGAGAGCCCCCCCGGGAAGGCCGAGCCGCTCACCCGCGGCCGCGCCGGCCCCGCCGCATCCCCGCCGGGCCCTTGTTTACGCGGCGGGCGGCGGAGCGTGCGCCCTCCCGGCCGCCGTACGCCCGCCCCGCGCCTGCGCGCCGCTCCGCCTCGCGAAGCTGTGCGGGCCCCGCCGCGGTCGGCAGCGCGGATGGGTGACCCGCAGCCCGCCCCCCGGGGGTTTGTCCCCGTTTAGTCCCCGGCCCGCCCGCGGTCGCCACCGCCCTGATGCGGTCGCCACGGGGGTCACACCCACACCCCCCCTCAGTCCCCGCCCGCCGGGGCCGCTGCAGTCCCGCTTCGCGCCGCGGGGTGTCCCCGAGGCTCAGCGGATGAGGAGCGTGCGGGGCGGGGGGCCTCGGGAAAAAAAAAAAAAAAATTGGGCGTGGAGAAGAGAAGGGTTGGGAGATGTTATAGCACCTTCCAGTGTCTGGAGAGGCTGCAGGAAAGGTGTAGTCGTAGAACAAGCAGTAATGGGGTTCATACAGAACGGGGAAATATTGGTTAGATATACAGAAGGCCCGGGTTCGATTCCCGGTCAGGGCCACTCCCGGGCAGATGGAGCTCGTTAGCCCTCAAAGCAATCCATCTACATCCTAAGGACCTCGCTGCCACCGTCCAAGCTCGCTTGGCCCCGGCAGATGAACCTTAGGATTAAAGGGTGGGCTCAGTTCCGCGCACACTGTGTCTCACCTAAAAAATCCAATGCACAGGCTGGAAGGTGGAAAGACCTTCCCCGGATCGTCGCTCGCGAAGACTGGCCATTATTATATTATTATTATACAGAAGGAATTCTTCACTACGATGATGGCGAGGCACTGGAACAGGTTGCCCAGGGAGATCGTGGATGCCCCGTCCCTGAGCGTTCAAAGCCGGGTGGGATAAGGTGGGAGGTGTCCATGGCAGGGGGTTGGGATTTGAAAACATTTAAGGTCCCTTCCAGCCCCTTAAAGTGATTCTGTGACTCTGCTGCTCCTGGCACAGCCTCTTCCAGGGAGCTCTCTGTGTGCAGTGGCCTTGTCGTGGCCCCACTGGAGATATTCCAGAACTGTCTGGATGCAATCCTGTGCCATGTGCTCTGGGATGACCCTGCTTGAGCAGGGAGGCTGGACCAGATGACCCACAGAGTCGCAGGCTGCCAGATCCAGGGAGCAGCTTGTCAGGAGAGAACACAAACTGCAGGAGAAAGAGAAAAAGAACTGAACTAGGGGTGTCTGGAAATGGGATCAAAACCAGGGGATTGATACGGAAAAGAGTGGTGAATCTTGGGAAATGAGCCACTGAGTGTTGGTTTGTGCCTCTGGGGCCAGTTTGTCCCAGAGGATTCATGAGTGATGTACAGGGAGCAGTGGGGAGTTATGGGGCCTCCTTTCTCACCAGCCCTCCGAGGTATCAGGGACTCCCTGGGGTCCCCACGTTTAACCACCATCCAGTTGCTGACCAGGAGACTCCTCCAAATGGCTTAAACCCAAGTGGCTGTGCCCCAGCACCCTGCTGCCCTGTGCCCACTCTGCTGCCCTGTGTCCACCCTGCTGCCCTGTGTCCACTCTGCTGCCCTGTGTCCACCCTGCTGCCCTGTGTCCACCCTGCCACAGCCACCCAGAGCTGGTGCTGCCCCCCACACTGCCCCCCACATTCATCTCTGCCTCCGCTACACCTGCTGCCAACCCATCCACTTGTCCCGTGACTCTTTCCACCCATCCAGAATTTATTTTCTCCTGGGGAGACTTTTCCTGTTAATGGCTGATTTTAATCTCAAGTTGCCTCTTTTCTTGCCTGTTGTCTCCGTCATTTTAATGTGCAGGAAAACGTCCCTCCCTGGAGAGGTGGGATTACAGTGTGCCCTGCCAGGAGAGCCCAACCCCCATCATCACACCCAAAGGTGTGGATATTCACACCCTTCACAGCTGGGATCCTGCTGGAACCACCAGGAGCAGGGGACAACGCACAGAGGTGTCTCCAGCTGGGGGAATCCTGTGTAGAATCAGAATATCCTAAGTTACAAGACACCCACAAGGATCACTGAGTCTGACTCCTGGCCCTGCACAGGACAATGCCAAGGATCACACCATGACCCTGAGACCATTGTCCAAACACTTCTCGAGGTCTGTCAGGCTTGGGGCCATGACCACTTCCCTGGAGAGCCTGTTCCAGTGCCTGACTGCCCTCTGGGAGAAGAACTTTTTCCTGATATCCAACCTAAACCTCCCCTGACACAGCTTCATGCCATTCCCTTGGGTCCTATCACTGGCCACCAGAGAGAAGAGATTGGCAGAAAGGAAGGAAACATCCCTGGGCTTCATGAACTATTCCTCCTCTAAAGGAAAACTCTGTGAGACCCCCCTGTTTTGGTGGCATTAAAAAAACCCTGCTGCATTCAGGTACCCCTGAATCTTGAAATCTCTTCTTAATTTCATTTCAATTACTCAGATCTTTGCAAGAAAGTGGGGAGAGCACCAGGGATGGGAGAGGAAAGAAAAACAAGGAGGGCTCATGGGCAGAGTACACGAGGAGAGCTGCCATGCAGGGAGGGGACACATCCCAGTGGGGCATGGGTGGTGTGAGCATGGGCTTCTGCACATCCCACCTTGGAGCAGCCCCCAGCTGCCTGTGATTCTCTGTCTGCCGGGTTTGGAGGCAGTGCTGGGGCTGAAGCCATTCCCCAGCACGATGCTCGAGGCTTTGGTTGCCATAACAACTGGATTCAGGCTTCAAAAATAGTAACTTATTTTTCATTCAATTTGCCTTTTGCCCTGTGAGGCAGATCTATTTCGGGACTGATGGTTCACTTCAGGTGTCCCTTGCCAGCAAACCCCACGGTGGGCTGGGGGCTTCAGGGCCGGGGGTTGTTTTGTTGGACGTGGTTTATCGCCTTTTCCTCTCTCCCTCCCTGTTCAGGCCCAGAGAACAGGTACAGCAGGGCACAGGCATCACGAAATAGCCTTTGCCAAAGCTCGTCATCTCCAGGGCTGGGAAAAGAATTTGGAAAAAAAAAATAAAAAAATCTTCCCGGCTAAGTGGCAAGAGCGTGGGAGAGGTTTTGGGAGATGATCTCACTCTGCATCTCAGCTTGGACCTGCCGCTCTCAGCCGGGGCTTGGCTGTCCCAGATACACTAGGAAGGTCCTACTGGAGATGGGGTTTATTCTGTCCCCCCTGCCATACCTCCTGGATCCTGCTGGTGTCTGGTCCCTGCTGGTGTCTTCCATCCACGGTGGGAAACTTGCAGGAAGGCTGAACCCGCTGCCTGCTCCGGGCACTGGGGAATGGGGGTGCTTTTTGTGTGCGCTGGGGACACCCCACAGTGCAGCTGCACCTGCGGCATCACCTCTTTGGCATCCCCTGGGGGGATTAGCTGCTTTTGGAAGGGGTTGCAGAGGGTGTCAGGATTAAGTCATGACTTGAATTAAAGGATTCCTTCCTCTTTGGTCTGTTTTGGACCTTGGAAGATGTGTGTGTGCTTGATTTCCCATGGAAATGGCCATACAAGCATAACCCTTCACGTCGAGATGATTTCAGCTGTTCCACCTTCAATGTTGCTACAGCATCAGCAAGGAGAGGTTGTGTTGGGGTGACCAAGACTCTCCTCCTCCAGTTGCCGCCAACCTTATGACACCTTTCTTGTTCCTCACCTGATGGCCTGAAGGTGCCAGCACTTTCTGGCACAGGGTGGGCAAGGATGATGCTGATCTGCCCCCAGACAAAACCCCCATCACCTTTTACATCCCCTCTTTGAGCTGTCCAACCTCAGGTGTACATTGGGGTGTCACCTCCTGTGGGAGCCTCCTTGGGCAATGTAGAGGATGAAAGATTAATGGTGGAGATGGGGGGAGGATTTTGAGGTCTTCAGTTCTTGCATTGCTGTCGTGCTGCTCTGTCCTCCCCTTCTCAGAGCAGGAAGGGACGGTGGGATGCTGGTGGGAGTTGTGTCCCCAGCCAGGGCCACCCTGCAGTGATGGGGCTGGGGCAGAGCCACCCACCCCTGCTGGGGCCTCTGGAAAATAATGGAAAAAAAATTAAAATCAAATAAATAAGAACAAAGCCAAACAAATCAGCTCCCGGGGGATGGCCCTGCCCCGAGGCGGGCAGGGATGGCTCCGGGACCCTCGGGGGGACCCGGCCGTGGGCAGCGGCGCGGGGGGGAGAGGGCTGGCTGCTGGCACTCACCGCTCCCCCCCGCCCCGATGCTTTAATCACATTTTCAATTCAAATCTGCTGCTATTTGATCCCCCGGGGGTGGTGGCGGGGAGGGGGGGGTGATATTTTTAGCTGTACTTAAAGCTGCCGGGGGGGCGGAGGGAGATCGCGCAGGTTGCTGTGGCCGCGAAGAGTTGGAAGGGGTCCCCCCACACACACCCCTCGCCTCCCCTTTTTTCTTCCTTCTCCTCCCCTTTGCACATCTGAGGGCGACAACGGGGCTGGCTCCCCCCTCCCGGAGGTCGCCTTTGTTTTCCCCGTGTCGCTCTCCCGAGCAGCCGAGGGGGCGGGAGGGGCCGGGGCTGAGCCGGGCTGGGCTGTGCCGGGCTGGGCTGTGCCGGACCGGCCGCCCCTTCTCCTGCTCGCCCCGCCGGACCCCGCCGAGTTGTGCCGTTCCCCCGGGCGGCACTTTTCCCCCCCGCCCCGGGGCTGAGCAGCCGCCGCCCCCCAGGACCTCCATGGCACCGCCGCGATGTTCGCGTCCCGGGTCCTGGATTTCCAGAAGACGCGCTACGCCAGGTAAATCCATCGGTGCGGCGGTCCCCGAGCCCCCGGTCGTCACGGAGCCCCCGGACAGCCCTAATCTCTGCCCGGGCTCGGCTCAGCTGGGATGGAGCCCGAAAGGACCTTCAAAAGCTGCTGAGTGCCCCAAAACCCCAGGCAGGTGCGGGCTGGGCTTTTGGCTACCTGCTTTTCTGCATCCCTAAAGGATTCCGAGCATCCTTAGGAGCCCTCGCTGCCTCTCTCTGGGTCTAACTTCACTGTGGTTTTTCCCGCTGCTGGGGGACCAGGAACCCGGCTCCCTGCAAGAACAGATCCCATCGCTGGCTCCAAACCCCCTTGGAGGGATTAGTGCTGTCCAGG